GTTAAATAGTAGCTCACTGGAGCCATCAAGAAGTTTCTTCTAGGCTTTCCTTGGTGTGTCAGCTTTTTTTTTTTTTTTTTTTTTTATTTTTTATTTATTCATTTGAGAGAGAATGAGATAGAGAGAGCATGAGAGGGGGGAGGGTCAGAGGGAGAAGCAGACTCCCTGCCGAGCAGGGAGCCCGATGCGGGACTCGATCCCGGGACTCCAGGATCATGACCTAAGCTGAAGGCAGTCGCTCAACCAACTGAGCCACCCAGGCGCCCGGTGTGTCAGCTTTTTTCTGAGGTAGCTCACATCATGGTTGCAGGATGAGTGCAACAATTTCATGTATTGCATCCAGATATGACAACGGGCACAGGAAGAAGAGACAGTCCCCTTTTGTGAGTTTCTCTTAGGAAAGAGAATACCTTTCCCAGAAGTTCCCAGGAGAAGGATCTTGTGTCTTGTTGGCCACAACTGTGTCATAAACCCAACCTAAATTAGTCCCTGGCAAGAGGAATGGAGCCATCATGACTGGCTTAGATCAGTTGGAAATTGCCCTCTAGGGCTGATTTGGGGCCCTCCAAAAAATAAATGGCAGTACCCAGGAAGGTGGATCCTTTTGAGGGGAGAAAATGGTTTTTGTTAGAAAGGACAAAAGGCAGGGGAGAAAGAAAATTAACCAAGCAACTAAGAGTATATACTGCATTAGATTATTTAGTAAATGGTTTTAGAAGAATTGATTTTTTAATTTGGTCTTGTACCTATCAGTGAGGTTAAATTGGTTAATAGAATTATTCAAATACCTTTTTTTAATCTTTTTTTTTGGTCTACTTGTAATATCAGTTACTGAGAGAGGAGTGTAAAAATCTCCCAACTATCACTGCGGCCTTGTGCATTTCTCTTTTCAACACTGTCAGTTTTTGTCTCATGTATTTTGATCTCTTTTATTGGGTGCATGCACATTTAGGATTGTTGTCTTTTTAAAAAATTTTTTTTATTAGTGAAGTATAGTTGACTTTTGTTTCTTCTTGATGAAGTCACGTCCTTTTTATAAAGCATTGCTTTTTTCCTCTGGTAATACTTCTTGTTTTAATGTCTACCTTTTCTGATAGGAATGTAGCCATCCAACTTTCTTTCTTTCTTTTTTTTTTAAAGATTTTATTTAATTTTATTTATTTATTTGACACAGAGAGAGAGACAGCTAGAGAGGGAACACAAGCAAGGGGAGTGGGAGAGGGAGAAGCAGACTCCTGGCTGAGCAGGGAGCCCGATGCGGGGCTCGATCCCAAGATCCTGGGATCATGACCTGAGCCGAAGGCAGACACTTAATGACTGAACCACCCAGGCGCCCCATCCAGCTTTCTTATAATTAGTGTTTGCATGATATATCTTTTTTCATCCTTTTACTTTTAACCCATCTGTCCTTTGTGTTTAAGATGCATCTCTTGGGGCACCTGGCTGGCTCATTCAGTAGAGCATGCGACTCGATCTTGGAGTTGTAAGTTTGAGCCCCACATCGGGTATAGAGGTTACTTAAAAATAAAATCTTTTAAAAAAAAGTAAATAAAATGTATCTCTTAGGAACATTATATAGTAAGGCTTACTTTTTTAAAATCCGTGACCATCTCTGCCTTTTAATTGAATTACTGAGTCTATTTACAATTAATGTAATTATCAGTATGATTGAATTCAAGTTCTACTATCTTGATAATTGTTTTTTATTCATCCTCTCTGTTCTTTGTTTCCTTTTCCCTCTTTTCTCATCGCCTGGATTTATTGATTTTTTCAAAAAAAGGATTTCATTGTATCTCTTCCATTGGCTTCTTATAGGCTTCTTAGCTGTGTGTGTGTGTGTCTGTGTGTGTGTGTATACTTTTTTTTATACTTTTGAAATAGTTCTAGAGTTGGGTTTCAACCTTCACATAGGGACATTTTGGGCCAGATAATTATTTGCTATGAGGGGCTAACCTGCATATTATAGGACATTTAATAGCATTTCTCACCTCTGCCTACTACTAGATACTGGTAGCTATAGCCCCTGTCGTGACAATGAAAAATGTCTCCAGTGATTGCCACCGCTGGAAGTAGGAAGGGGCAAGCTGCCCTTGGTTGAGAACTCAGCTCTAGAGCTTACATTATGCGTTTTTAATTTGTAACAGTCTATCTTGAAGTAATATACCACTTCCCATATTGTGTTAGAATCTTCCAATAGTACTCTTCTGTTTTCTCTCTCTCATCCTGTGCTATGGTTGTCCTTCATTTTAATTCTATGCGTTACAGACTCCACATTGCACTGCTATTATTTTTGCTTTAAACAGTCAATTTCCTGTTAAAGACATAACAAAAGAGGAGTAAAAATTCTTTTATATTTACAAGCTCATCTTGTACTTTTCCTACTCTAGCCCTGGGATCAGCCATTTTCCCAAGGAACCCTGATTCCTTTTAGTAGAAAGTAATAATTAGCTAGAATCTGGGTGCTAGATATTCTACTGCTATGTTATGTGTGTACATTTATACGCACACATATTTATATCTATGTTTATTTCTATATAATGAAAACTGTGGGTTCATACTCATATCTAATTTCAATCAAACAACTCTAGTTTTCTCCATTCCCTTCTTCAATAGTGAAAAACCTAACTTCCATTATCTTTTATTTACTTATTTTATCAGTTCCCCGGTATGCAACCAGTCTGTTGTTGTTGCTCTTGCCCCTATCTCCATGCAGATGCCTTTCTCACTCCACTCAGGCTCTGACATCCTGCAGACTCCTGCATCACCCCACCTGTTTCTGACACTCTCCCCACATCACCCTTCTGCATGGATGCCAGTCTCACCCTTCTCAGCTCTAACACCTGTGACAGGCTGCCCTCCCACCCAGAAGGCCTTTTCATTTCTTTTGGATTCTGATACTACCTTAGCCACCCCTTCCAGTAGACATTCTGCTCAAGCTTTGAGACTCTTTGTGAGGTAGCTCACACTCATGGAACTCCTCTCTGTCTTACTTGGGCTGTAACTCTACATGCGTGCTGTCTCCTGAGTTTCCCAGCATGGACACCCTCCTCATCTTACTCTGATTTCCATGCTAGCCCTGTTTCTGCAGTGGGCTCTGACATTTCATGCTAAGCCACTCTTCTGTTTAGCTGCCTAGTTGTTCATCTTGCTTTGCACCAGCTGACAACTTTAGTGCTGAATTGTTTGGGAAACAAAGGGCAAAAGGAAGAGGACCTTTCACTTGTTAAAACAAAAATAGCTTTCATTACAGTTTGTAATAATAGATTTGTATAATCATTTGATTATATTCTCTTGTGACCTTTCTGAGGGTAAGGACAGTTTCATGGATACAATATAGTTTCCCAAGGATCTAGCATAAAGTTTGTGCTCAGTAAATTTTTACTGAATGAACAAATAGTCAGATTAAGTCAGATGAACTTCAGTCAGATCATACAGCTGTTAATGTGTTTATATGTTGAAGGCATGATTTGGACATACTTCTCAGATTCTAAAGTTATCCTGACTGCTTTTACATCACATACTTTTACTATAAAAAACTATTTGGAGAACAGAGGGAGTTTACCATGTACAGAGTTTATCTGAATGCAGGAATTCATTATAAATTTAGTATAAAGGTTAGAGCTTTTAAATCGTTTAAAAATAGTATCTTTCACTTGTATAAAACTTTATATTCATTGAGTCATAAAATGTTGGTGCCAAACGGGGCTCCAGAGATAATCTTGTTCAGCACAACTAAGCAGTATAACACAGACATGTCAAATACCAGTATTTGGAGAGGGTTGGGTTTGGGTGAGGTGAGAGAATGTGTGGGTAATGTGGGTAAGCCCTCCCGGTGATTCTGATTACACCTTTTGTCTCTCAAAGTAGTCCTCAGTCTGTGATTTTACCTGATCCACACAGCAACCCTTAGAGACCTATAGGGCAAGGAAAATTCAACAGATGGGGGAGCTGAGGCCCCTGGGAATCAGAATGACTTCTCAAGGTTTCTTTTCCATCTTTATCATTCTCCAGAACATTTTAGATAGGAATGTGATATTGTTTAAAATTTTTTCTATAATGCAATGTAATTGTTCATAATGAAGGGTATGGAAGAAGAAGGTATGAAATAGTCTAAGAATTTGACAATTGAGCTATTAATTTATGAGTTTCATTTCATTTCAGCAGTGCTCAAAAAGTTGATGAGTTATATTCCAGGTTGTTAGGAAAATTAAATCATTTATAGATAATAGTCCTGTTTTGTTACTGAAGAATTATAAGAAAATTACTGAGGAAATATCTGGGAGAGGGGAGAATTTCTCTCAAACTTGTACATCTTTAGTGGAAGTTACTGGTACTCCTTACCTATGCATGCTGCTAATGTTAGCATTGCCCTGAGAAGCAATGTCTTAATTCCATATGTCATTAGAATTGTCTTGCTATGGATGTATTGAGTATGCCCACCTGTAATTTTTCACAGGTTACTTAATGACCCAGTTAGAGTTCTCAAGAAATGACTTTAATTTATAGATCATCAGAAATGAGATCTAGAAAAGCTACTTTGCCATGCTGAATAGTTCAAAAGATGAATGTTTCAGTGTGAAATATTTTCCTTGCCTTATTTAAATTGACTTATTGGAACCTAAAAAGTAATATTTCAAAAATGTATTACAAATAAGATTCAAAACTTAGTTTGCTGTGTTCTTATATTAATCACATTTAGAACCTGTATTTTCCAACAGAAAACTTATTGAGAGACAAGTGAGTATCCTTCCTGTTATTTTATCTTTCACTCTTAACTTTCACCAAGGGAAAATCAATTTTTTTGAGTGTGAGAGCAATGATACCTTCCTTGCAAAGTTGGAGGACTGTATGTCAAATATGTAAATACCACATATTATGTATGACATTTAACAGGTGCTTAATCATTGTTTTTATTGATTTACCTAGTCTTTATCATCTACTACAAGAAGTAGCTTTAACTGTGCTTTACTATTAAATTCTTTCCCCCTACTCTTCTACAGGCGTATCTACATCAGCGATCAAAATGGCATCAACCAGACTTCCTTCCCCCAAAAGTTTAGTAGGTGCCCCAACTCAGATTCTTGCACAGTTTCCTAAACAGCATCAACAGTCTCCTAAGCAGCAGTTACATCAAGTGCAGCAACAGACCCAGCAACAGGTGGCCCAGCCTGCTCCAGTATCTCATCAGCAACAGCCTCAGCAATCTCCTTTGCCACCTGGTATCAAGCCTACCATTCAAATCAAACAGGAGTCAGGTAACTGGAAAATGTTTATAAGATGTAATTCTTCCTTAGTCACTACTTCTCTGAAGACTGTGAGTGTATATGGATATACAGTTCCCTCAAGCACCAGAGTTTTAATTCCAAAATATGTTTTGAGAGTCTCCTGTTTGAAATACTTATATAAAGAACTGGAGCTTGGGAATAGAAATGAGAAAAAAAGCAATTTGCTCAGCAGGAACAGTTATTTTCAATGAACTCTCCAGGGAGATAAGGAAGCTGAGGAAGCAAACCCAGATTTTAAAATTATACTCTGGATGCATTGGGGTTATAGAAAGTAGGCAGTCGAAAAATTAGTCTGGAGAGTTTTATGTTAGAATGCTATATTATGAATTTGGCATAAAATTGTATGAGCAGAGGTGCTAAGATTTTAAGACATTGTGTACAATGAAGAAGTTTGTGGAATAATAATTTAGGAGTTTATTGAAAGCATCTCTAGCACAGTGGGAACCAGAAGTAGGAGTCAATTAGTGTAAGTTATTGAATCATAAAAGTATTGAATAGAAAAGCAAGTAGGATGGGGGTTCAAACACAGGGAAATTAAAAAGACTCTCAATATACTTAATATCTTTAAGAAATGGAAATGGCTTTTTTTCTTCCTCCAATGAGTCTGGACTTTATTTGGTGGTAAAAGAAGCATTTGAAGATGCTGACATTTTCAGATTTGTTTTTTGATAGGAACATTTTATTACTAGTTTTGAGATATGACTGACATATCTCAAACATTGTATTACTTATAGGTGTACAACATAATGATTTCTTTATATATTTCAAAATGATTACAATAAATTTAGTTAACATCCATTATTACACATAGTAACATTTCATTTCCTGTGATGAGAACTTTTAAGATTTATTCTCTAAGCAACTTTCAAATATAGCACAGTATTGTTAACTATAGTCACCATACTGTAGGTTACATGCTCAGGATTTATTTATCTTATAACTGGAAGTTTATACCTAATGACCACCTTTACCCATTTTGGCCAGCCCTCCACCACCTGCCTCTGGCAAATTCTTTGTATCTGTGAGTCCTTTTTTTGTTTGTTTTTTTTAAGATTCTACATGTAAGTGAGATCATTCAGTATGTGTCTTTCTCTGTCTTACTTCACTTAACATAATACCCTCAGGGTCCATTCACATTGTTGCAAATGACAGGATTTCTTTCTTTCTTTTTAGTTTTTATTTTAATTCGTTAGTTAACAAACAGTGTTGTATTAGTTTCAGGTGTACAATATAGTGGTTCTACAATTCCACTTATCACCTGGTGCTCATCACAACAAGTGCACCCCTTAATCCCCATCACCTATATAACCCATCCCCCCACCCACCTCCCTTCTGGTAACCATCAGTTTGTTCTCTGTAGTTAAGAGTCTGTTTCTAAGTTTCTCTCTCTCTCTCCCTCTGTCTCTCTCTTTCCCTTTGCTCATTTGTTTCTTAAATTCCACATTTCAGTGAAACCCTACATTATTTGTCTTTCTCCAACTGACTTATTTTGCATTATATTCTTTAGCTCCATTCATGTTGTTGTAAATGGCCAGATTTCATTCTTCTTTATGGCTGAATAATATTCCATTGTGTACACACACACACACACACACACAACATCTTCCTTCTCCATTCATCTATCAATGGATACTTTGGCTGCTTCCATAGTTTAGCTATTGAAAATAATGCTGCAGTAAACATAGAGGTGCATGTATCCCTTCAAATTAGTGCTTTTATATTCTCTGGGTAAATATACCCAATAGTGCGATTGTTACATCATAGGGTAGTTCTATTTTTAACTTTCTGAGAAACCTCCATACTGTCTTCCACAGTGGCTACACCAGTTTGCATTCCCAACCAACAGTGCATGAGGGTCCTTGCCAACAATTCTTTCTTATGTTTTTGATTTTAGCCATTCTGACAGGTGTGAGGTGATATCTCATTGTAGTTTGGATTTGCATTTCCTTGAGAATAAGTGATGATGAGCATCTTTTCATGTGTCTGTTGGCCATCTAAATGTCTTTTTTTGGAGAAATGTCGGTTCATGTCTTCTGTCCTTTTTTTAATTGGATTATTTGTTTTTTAGGTGTTGAGTTTTATAAGTTCTTTATATATTTTGGATATTAACCCTTTATCAGATATGTCATTTGCAAATATCTTCTCCCATTCCATAGCTTTTAGTTTTGTTGATGTTTCCTTCACTGTCACTATGTAGAAGCCTGTTATTTTGATGTAGTCCCCAAGTTTATTTTTGCTTTTTGTTTCCCTTGCTTCAGGAGACATATCTAGAAAAAAATTGTTACAACCAGTGTCAGAGAAGTTACTACCTGTGTTCCCTTCTAGGATTTTTATGGTTTCAGGTCTCACATTTAGGTCTGTAATCCATTTGAATTTATTTTTGTGTATGGTGTAAGAAAGTGGTCCGGTTTCTTTTTCTTTCTTTCTTTCTTTTTTTTTAAGATTTTATTTATTTATTTGAGATAGAGAGCGAGAGAGAGAGAGAGAGAGAGCACCAGCGGGGGAACAGAGGGAGAACAGGCTCCCCACTGAGCAGGGAACCTGATGCAGGGCTCAATCCCAGGACCCAGGATCATGACCTGAGCTGAAGGCAGATGTTTAACCGACTGAGCCACCCAGGCACCCTGAAAGTGGTCCAGTTTCATTCTTTTGCATATTGCTGCCCAGTTTTCCCCATACCATTTGTTCAAGAGACTGTATTTTTCCCATTGGATATTCTTTCCTGCTTTGTCAAAGATTAATTGATTTGTGGGTATATTTCTGAGTTTTCTGTTCTGTTCCATTGATTTGTATGTCTATTTTTGTGCCAGTACCATACTGTTTTGATATCTACAGCTTTGTAATATAACTTGAAATCTGGAATTGTGATGCCTCCAGCTTTGCTTTTCTTTTTCACGATTGCTTTGGCTATTCAGGGTCTTTTGTGGTTCCATACAAATTTTAGGATTGTTCTAGCTCTGTGAAAAATGCTGGTGGTATTTTGATAGGGATTGGATTAAATGCGTAGATTGCTTTGAGTAGTATAGACATTTTAACAATATTTGGTCTTTCAATCCATGAACATGGAACGTCTTTCCGTTTCTTTCTGTCATCTTCAATTTCATCAGTGTTTTACAGTTTTCAGAGTATAGCTCTTTTACCTCTTTGGTTAGTTTTATTCCTAGGTATCTTGTTGTTTTGGGTGCAATTATAGATGGGATTGTTTCTTAATTTCTTTTTTGCAGCTTCATTATTGGTGTATAGAAATGCAACAGATTTCTGTTTCTGTATCCTGTGAATTTACTGTGTTTTTTGTATCCTGTGAATTTACTGACTTCATATATTAGTTCTAGCAGGTTTTTTTGGAGTCTTTCAGGTTTTCTATATAGAGTGTCATGTCATCTGCAAATAATGAAAGTTTGACTTCTTCCTTACTGATATAGATGCCTTTTGTTTCTTTTTGTTGTCTGATTGCTGTGGCTAGGACTTCCAGTTCTATGTTGGATAAAAGTGGTGAGAGTAGACATCCTTGCCTTGTTCCTGACCTTAGGGGAAAAGCTCTCAGTTTTTCCCCATTGAGTATGATGTTTGCTGTGGGTTTTTCATATATGGTCTTTAATATGTTGACGTATGTTCCCTCTAAAACCTTTGTTGAAGGCTTTTACCATGAATGGATGTTATACTTTGTGAAGTGCCTTTTCTGCATCTACTGAAATGATTATATAGTTCTTATCCTTTCTCTTATTAATGTGATGTATCACATTGATTGATTTGCAAATCTTGAATCACTCTTGCAACAGGAATAAATCCCACTTGATGGTGGTGAATGATTTTTTTAATGTATTGTTGGATGCAGTTTGCTAGTATTTTGTTGAGGATTTTTGCATCTATGTTCATCAGAAATATTGGCCTATAGTTCTTTTTTTTTTTTTTTTCCTGGTGTCTTTATCTGGTTTTGGTATGAGGGTAATGCTTGTCTTATTCCAAAAATGAATTTTTAATCATCTCTTTTGAACAGCAGGGGTAGGAGATACTAAAAAATTTCTAGTGAGCACAAGGTATAGTTAATGTGTTAATAGTGTGGCTATATGATATTATATATTTATTATGTTGTCTGGATTCTCTTTTATTCCATGTGAAAATGCTTATAAAAGCTTTTCTAGATTGACTCAAAAACCTCAGTCTTCTAACCCTATTTTCCCCATCTGTCTTAAGTTCCTCAATTGTAGAGTCTTATGCCATGACTGCTTTAAGAAGTCTAACCATCATAGTTATAGGAGGAATATGTTAGTAATGAAGTCCCACTAGTAGCTCTGGGTTGTTCACTCATACTAGATTTTGATTCAGTCTAGTTTATCATCAGTTTTTCCTCTTATGGATCATGTCTTTGGTATCAATTCAAAGAACTTTGCATAGCTCTAGGTTTTAACATTATTCTCCTGTTTTTTTCTCTAAAAGTTTTATAGTTTTATCTAAGTCATAATCTATTTTGAGTGAATTTTTATATAATTAAGTGTGAGGTTTAGGTCAAGGTTAATTTTTTTTTGCCTGTGGATGTAATTGCTTTTGCAACCTTTGTTGAAAAGGCTATCAAACTCTATTGAATTGCTTTGGCATCTTTGTCAGAAATCAGTTGGGCATATTTGTGTGGGTTTATTTTTAGGTACTCCATTTGTTTCATTGATCTTTGTGTCTGTCTCTCTGTTAGTACCATACTGTCTTGATTATAATAGCTATATAGGAAGCTCTAATGTAGATAGAGTGATTCCTTCCACTTTATTTTTTTATTTCAAAATTATTTTAGCTATTCTAGTTTTGTTGCCTTTCTGTATAAATTTAAGATTAAATGTATCTGTGTGTAGTAAAACTTTACTGGGATTTTCCTAGGAATTGCATTAAGCTTCTAGATGAGTTTAGGAAGAATTGACATTGTGTTGATTTACCCAGTTCATGAACAGAGTGTGGCACTCCATTCATTTAGGTCTTCTTTC